GGGCGCGGCCCGGAGGACTGAGGGAAAGGCACCCGCGCTGCCGGAAGTGGGCGCGCGGTTCTCGCCACCCTGACCGTGGCAGGAGGGCGGAGGAGTCGCCATGGAGCTGCTTGACCCGGACGCCGCCGGCGAAGATGCCATGGACTCGTTCCTAGAAAAGTTCCAGAGCCAGCCTTACCGTGGCGGCTTCCACGAGGACCAGTGGGAGGAGGTGGGCGGCCCGGGGCCCCGCACGTGTGTGGGGGCGTCGTCCCGACGACGCCTGGGGCTGGCGGGCGGGCGCCTCCCGCACCCCCGGTTCCCCCGGCCCTGCCAGCGGAAAGGTGGTTTCCACCTGGGACTGTTAGAAAACGGGACTCGGGTTTTTGAGGGCAGTCTTCAGCTGCCAGTACATTTAGGAGTCTAGGTTTTGGAGTCAGACAGACCTGAGACTCCACCATTTGCTGGCTCAGTTACTTAACTTCTCTGAGCCCGTGTCCTCATTTGTAAAATTTCCCTAACTAGAGCCACAGTCTCGTAGCATTGCGGCGAAAATGAAGGGATATGGTGGGTGAAGTGCCGGGAACATAAGAGCGTTCCATTAATGGTGATTCCCACCGCCCTTGGAAGATTGTGAGCACCGAAAGAATCGTTAGAGATCCTTGCCCTGCGCTCTCATCTTACACTTGGGAAACTGAGGCCTGGATAGGGAGAGAGATAACTAACCATGACTTGCAAATCATGATGAGAGAGAAAACTTTGATACAGAGATGTGGAATTGGATCTACCCTGTGGAAAATCTTACTCCTATAGTTCATTCTTCTCTTCATCTCCAGGAATTTGAAAAGGTCCCCCTATTTATGAAGAAAGCGCCATCTGAAATTGATCCCAATGAGAATCCTGACTTGGCTTGCCTTCAGTCAATTATTTTTGATGAAGAGCGATCTCCAGAAGGTATCTTACATGAGTCTAATATTTGTTTTGTGTCTCCATTGAATGAGGTAAAGAGCAAGTCAGAAAGTTTCTGATAACAAGAAGTAGTTAGCCTGGGCTAACTCGTCACTATTTATTCCACATATACACTCCCCCCCCCCCCCCGCCCATATCTACTAAATGCTAGGCTTTGGGGATAAAGGGATGAGTAAGATTGCCCTCAAAGGTCTCATGCTCCATTTAAAAAAATCTCATGCTCCAGTGGATAGCCAGATTGTCCCTTGTGTATGTGATAAGTGCCAACATGTGGCTATGTACTAGGTGCGGTGGGAACACTGAAGTGGGGGAGGTAGGAATGGGCTCACAATGGATTGGAAATCTGAACTGATTCTTAACAATTTTGTAGGCTCTTACTAAGGTGAGGAGAGGGGAATTTGCATTCCAGGGAATAAAATATAAGCAAAAACAGAAGTATAATTTCCCTCTATTTCTTCAGTAATTAAAAAAAAGTCCTTCAAGAGGTAGGATAAATATACTTTTTTTCTTTATGCATCTTTTTTTTTTTTTTTGGTAAGGGTCCAATCTACCTTGTAAGATATTTGGAATTGATTGTAGCATTAAGTACACATGACTTTGCTTCTCCATGTTGATACCCAGTTTTACAGGATTAATTTTGGAGTTTCCTTTATTGGTTTCTTTTTATTTGGTTTATCATATGTAAAATTATTGTATGATTTAGAATCTATTTTTAATGAGACTTAAAAAAAAATAGGAAATAGTGATTATTTATTCTCTTCTTTGCAGAACAGGCCAAGACCTATAAGGATGAGGGCAATGATTACTTTAAAGAAAAAGACTATAAAAAGGCTGTGATTTCGTACACTGAAGGATTAAAGAAGAAATGCACAGACCCTGATTTGAATGCTGTCCTTTATACCAACCGGGCAGCAGCACAGTACTATCTAGGTAATTTATTCTATTATTTAGTGCTTTCTAAAGAATTAACTTATGGTAAAAGCCATTATGATGGCTAGTGCAGAGTTTGAGAGTGTCAGAGGAAGAGCTGCTTATCCCAGAAAGCTAGGCTAGTTTACTCTAATTGAACACTGATCTTCCAGGTAGACTGGCTGAAAAGGGAAACCAGATAGATCGTATAATTCTTACTCTCTGAACCAAATGAGTGACACACCTTAATACATGAATTGGTATGATCTGAGGTTTTTTTTAGCCCAAATGCTTTTGTCTTAAAAAAAAAATGTGTTTTTGGTTTTGGTTTTTGGCCTTTTACCCTCTTCTGAAGGATGCTAGAAGGATTCAAGCAAAGAGATGTTTGTGTGAGAGAAACTATCTTAAAGGGAGAATTTTTCAAAGAGTATTCTGTGGAACCTGAAGTGAAAAATATTCTTTGGAAAGTGCTGCTGCTTTGTTGGAGATTGCAGTGCACAGTATGTTAAAGATGCTGAGATGACCTGCAGCAAAGAACTTTACCCTTTGATTCTTAAGTTTTGTAAGCCCCCTTTTCAAGTAACACTAACTAACATGCAGGACTCTTCTGCACACGTGACTTTGGGAAACACTCATTATTAAGGAGACCTGGGGCCTCTGAGGGGCTGGTAGAGAATAAGCCTTGCAGTCTAGCTGGGATGAGTCTGCTGGGACTCATCACCATTTGAGCAGAGTCTCTCCCCAACCATAGTCTGCTCCAACTGTTGTCTCCTTTTGCATGTTTCATTATAAAATTCTAAATAGTAAGAGTGGTATAGAACTTTAGAGATTATTTGGGCCAACCAACCCCTTCATTTTACATAGGCCCAGAGAGGGTCCCTCTGATAAGTGCAAGAACTTGGACTAGAAACCCATTCTTCTAACTTCTGGAGGAATACATTTTCTTCAGCAGATGAACTCGAGTTTTTGTTCTGTGCTAGGCAGTGGTGTCGCAGAGATGAGTAAGATCTGGCCTTTTCCAGAAGGAGTTGCGTTCATTTCTTTATTCAATCAGTAAATATATTAAAAAATATATATATATATATATAAAGCGTTTACTGTGTGCTAGGCATTGCACTGTGAGCAACAGCTACATAGTTCCTTTCTTTGGGGGAACTTAAAGACTGTAGGGCTAATCAGCCCAGAAGCGCCACCTTGCGAGAAGAAAACCGTGTGTGTGATGCCAGAGGAGCGGAGGCATAATCATCACAGCCATTCCTTAAATGAGATGGCACCGGTACAGCTCACAGAGCACTTTCACATTTGTTATCCCTCTTGACCTCACAGCACCTATGTAAGGTAGGTGAGGTTAACAGCTTTATCCCTAGTCGGCAGAGTACACAACTGAAGTAAAGTACAGTAAATTTAGTAAAATGAACTGTGTAAGGGTGCACAGTGCTAGGATTAGTATGCAGAATCAGGTTTGATTCCAAATGCACTAAATGGAAAAAACCTTGACCCACACTTCCAGAAGGTACCTGGTGCTGTCAGTTCCTTAGTCCTGGGTACTTTTAGGTTATGCAGTACAACTTGACAGCTTTGGGGCTTTCCCTCTGCTGGCTTAGAATTCAGTTTTCTTAGGACTGATTAGTCATTTAACCATTGTCCCTTTGTTTTCGAGCTTTAAAATGTGTTCTGTGTTTTTACTCTTGTCTCTGTGGGTTTATGGCATTTTGGGGGGAAGGGGAAGAGTAGTGGAGGTTTAGTTAAATCCTTATGTTCAATCTACCATCCTTAACCAGAAGTCTTTGGATCTCTTTTATATACATTTTTTTCCATAGTTAATATCATGCTGTTCTTCCAGTTTTGCATTCAGTTCTTTTCACTTAATTTTATAACATAAACAATACCACCTGTCAAGATATTTTTGAATACTATTTTAATAGCTACATAAAGTTGCATCATTTGGACATACCAGTGTTTACACAGTTGGTTTTACTGTTCTGCTATTATTGAATATACAGCTGCTTTTAGGTTTTTTAAAATAATGCAGTAATGAACACAGTTAGTGATAAAGATTTCCTACGAATTCTGATTATTCTTAAGGCTGAAGCCAGATTTGGCAAACTATGGCTCACAGGCCACATCTGGATTCCTGGCTTCCTGTGAGCTAAAAATGCCTTTTATATTTTTAAAGGATTGTAAAACAAAGAAGAATGTGTAACAGACCATATGTGGCCTGTAAAGCCTAAAATATTTACTATATGGCCCTTTACAGAAAAATTTAGCTGACCTCTGCACTAGATTTTTAGAAGTGAAAATAGTAAGTAAATACCAAACTGTTAAGTAATATTTACAGTATAAACTAGAAAGTGAAAATCTACCTCATGCCCTTCTAGTTTGGATAACAGTGTGTTTGATTGCACACCTTTTTTTTTTTTTTTTAAAGGTTTTATTTATTTGAGAGAGTGAGTACAAGTTGGGGGGAGGGGCAGAGGGAGAGGGAGAAGCAGACTCCCCGCTCAGCAGGGAGCCGGATGCGGGCTCAATCCCAGGACCCTGAGCAGAAGGCAGACGCTTCACTGACTGAGCCACCCAGATGCCCCTACACACCTTTTTTTTTTTTTACAAATATATATGTGTGTGTACATATGTCTGTATATTTAGATTGGTTTGTTTTACAAAAAATATTGATATTTTACACATTGACATTATACACATAGAACCACCAGTTAAAACACAGGCATCCTGTCACACCTTTTACGTGCACATCTATCTTACCCTTTTTAATGGTTGCATAGTATTTAGTGGTGTGGATTTACCATAGTTCATTTAATCATTACTACATTGAGGATGTTTAGGGTATCACCAGTGTTTCACAACTCACAGTTAAAACTAATGCTGCAGTTGACATGCTTTCACATTTATCCTTACATATTTGTCCAGGTATTTTTAAGGATAAGTTGTTAGAAGAATATTGTTGGGTCAGAGTATACGCACAAGTGCATGCTAATTTGCTCTCTGATTTACCCTTAAGAGTGCCCTTTTCCCATGTCTTCACCCATCCTGGATATTACCTGTTTTTAATTTTTACCAGTTCCATGTTAATTTTAATTTCTTCAGTCAGTGGTGATGTTGAGCATCTTTTCATGGGCTTGCTAGCCATTTATAGTTGTTCTGTGGGCTTCTAGTGTTACAAATATTTCTAAGACTTGATGAGCACAACTATATTTTTTTCTAAAAACTGTTGCTCTGATTTATATTTCTCTAAGACTATACAAGAATGTCCATGTCTCTACACATGAAATTTTGCAAATATTCTGATCTCAGTCTTGTTTTCTCTTTTACTAAATGGTGCCTGTTAGGCAATTTTCGTTCTGCTCTCAATGATGTGACAGCTGCCAGAAAGCTAAAACCCTGCCACCTCAAAGCAATAGTAAGAGGTAAGTATTGTAGAACTACAGTATGGTTGTCCTTATGGAAAAGTTGGCACTCACTGCACCAAAAGTTGAGGCATTTTAAGCTTCGATATTAAGGTGCTAAGATACTAATGAAGTCACCTTATTTTTGCAATCTTGATATTAAGTTCCTGGTCCTTATCAATAGCAACATGCCATTTTTAAAAGAATTTCCCAGAGAATAATATAACTCTTTATATTTTAAGAATTTGTAGAGAAATTGAAACTCCTCATTTTAAATTAGCAATAAAATTAATTAAAATAAAGCAGTTCCAAAAGCCACATTCTAATTTTTTTTTCAAGTTAGCTAATTGAAAGGCGAGATCTTCAAATGTCATGTTAATTAAAAGATAAGTTATGGACCTTTGCTGATAACTCTGATGCTGAGATGTTCCCAGATTATATTTTCTTTTGTGGTCTGACCTTTCTATGTAATAATAGTGCTTATATTACTTTTATACTTTACCTTTTGTTTGAGAAGCTCAGAGGTGCTTTGTAAACTTTAATTTATTCATCACATATTAATCTTCCTTATAGTCCCATGATCGACTGCTTTATCATAAGCCAAATGCTTTACCAAAGTTATGCATCTTTAGGTATGCATAGTTAGGGGTTTGTATAGGTAGATCCATGTCCCTCAGCTGTAGGGAACGAAGGTACTGTTCAAAGATTGGCAAGTAAAGTCAGTGTAGTCCTGTGGAATTGGGACAAGCTGGAGTCTATAAATCTTGAATTGTCAGTTTTACCTCAGCATGTGACCTTGGCAAGATACCCACTCTGAGTGTCAGTTTGCTCATCTCTGGAAGATGAGGTTGGATTCTGTTGACATCTAAGCCCTTACAGTTCTGATATTTGGAAATTCTGTGGAAAGTCTAAAGAGGCTAACTGGAGAAGAATAAACATGGTGAGAGGAGAGGCAGCTTAACCTGGAAGCCATTAGGAACAATTTTAGGAGAGACCTAATGTCTTTGGTCTTGCCACTGCTTTGATGAATGGCTGAGGTCAGTTCTGTTTTCTGTCTCTATTAAATATCTGAGATGGACTTTATTCTGATTTGCAGATGAGGAACCTGAAGCTTGGAGATGGTCAGTATTTTATCTAATGCCTAGTTGGTAAACAATAGCGCCAGATTTCCAGCCCAGATCTGTCTGACTCTAAACCCTGTGCTCTTTGCCATTAAGTTGTAGCCTTCCCTACTTTAAAAGCCCTTAATGTCAGGGAGGCTTACAGGAGTTTTAAGCTGAATGGGCCCTAGAGATCTTTCTGATCTAAGATACAAAAAATATTCTTCCTTGTCTGGGGAATGCAGTAGAAGGGGCTTTAATCATCTGTTGTCCCTTTAGAATGCTGGCTGGTAGCTGGTGGAGGTTGGGGATGGGGGTGGGGGGGTGGTTCCTGCTCAAGGAGAGCTCTTCCCATGCATATTGTCCACGTATTCTAAGGGTTCTGGGTTCTACAGGTGCCTTATGCCATCTGGAACTGAAAAACTTTGCTGAGGCTGTGAACTGGTGTGATGAAGGGTTGCAGATCGATGCCAGAGAGAAGAAGCTTCTGGAAATGAGGGCTAAAGCAGACAAGCTGAAGGTTGGCAAAATCATTAGCCAGTTGGCATTTATTACTTAGCACTAATTAATTAGTATTTCCCAGATTGTGTCTTTTGGGTCATTGTCAACTTTTTCTTCTTTAAAAACAAAACCCAAAACTATTCCCTACCTTTGGAACTCTGGAGGACACAAACAAATAAAGACATAAATAGTTATAATGTGACAGAGGCAAGCAAGAATATATAGTATATATAGTAGTAGTATCTGCTGATAGCAGAGAAGGTTTGTCGAAAGAGGTGATGTCTGATCTCTTGAAGACTGAGCAAGAGTTTACTCCACTGGAGGGTGGGGGTGAGGACTGCAGAACATTCCAGAAAGGAGAGAGCATAACCATCGGCAAGTCCTTGATATTTCTGAAACTCAGTCCCCTTTTTGAAAATAGTGTGCGTAATACATATCTCAAAGGTTTTTATGAGGATTAAATGAGAAAGTGTGTGTGTATGTTAGCACATTTCTTTTTTTTTTTTTTTTT